CACACACACACACACACACACACACAGAGAGAGAGAGAGAGGGAGAGAGAGAGAGAGAGACATGAGGAATGAACCAAGTTACATACCTGACTGAAGCTGCTGGCTATTGCGCTGAACGAGCGCTGTGTGACCCGAACTCTAAATTTGTAAAATATGATCATTCATTGAAGTTTTTAAGCTGTGCTAATCTGGTCTCCCATCCTTGGACTTCTCTCACTGTGCATATGATTGGAGTGTGAAACCAAGTGGTTCATTGCACCTGAATGGAACGCATAGTTATTATCGCACTATTTACACGGAATGTTGCCCCAAATACACATCTAAAATGACCGTACGTTCTGTTCAATGGGGGGAAGATGGTGGTCCCGTCGTCACTGGGACTGAGTGGTGGCCCTTGGCCCAGTCAGCACTGTTTTGTTTCGAAGGCCTGCACTGGAATCAGCATGGTAGTACTACCGTCTACTACCGTCTACTACCGTCTACTACCGTCTACTACCGTCTTCACTCGAATAGAACATATGGTCATTGTCGATCCATTTGGTTCAACTTTGAGTCTAGATACACCCCTAATGACTGTATGTTCTATTTGGGCGAAGACGGTAGGTACCCAGTGGAAAGCCTCACAGTGGGTCGCAATCAGTTCCCTGGAAAGAGTGGCAGCTGCAGTGGGGGTTCAGATGGGCCCATTTGGTCGTCATGCGTTTGTAACTTCATATGTGCAGTTTGTATTTTTTGCTCTGTGGTGGGGAGGATGTGATTTGATGAAGGGGGGTGGGTGGGAGGGAGGGGCAGTCTTATCAGTCAGGTCATTTGGCTAGTGTCTCTTGTAGCAGAATGTTTCCAGATACGTCATGTCATTTCGCAAGTGTATCTTTTAGTAAAATGTCTGCAATTTTCAAATTTGGTGAGTGGTGGAACGAGGCACACAACCTCTAGGGGGTGCGGCTGCCAGTCCCACTCTGTTTGGCTGTTGACGATCTAGCATGCCATATAGACTGGTTGGGGGCGAAAGTGTGACTAAGCGTCGTTTTTCGTTTTCCTTTGAACTCATGATCTGTTTAGTCACTTCAGGAAAAAAAAGAAAAAAGATCTGAAGCTCTGGTTTCTGCATTTGCTTCGAAGTTTCTCCTTGTGAAGCATGGGGCTCTGCTTACATCATGGATTGCATCTTGTTTTTTGACTGTCAACCAGCAAGCTGAACAACAACAATCTCACTGGACAAATTCCAATGCTCAATTTCACGAAGGTGAAAGACTTGTAAGTGACTTTAAACTGTGAACCTGAGCTTAAGATGTGCCTGATGAGCGGCATACACCGACTTTTCTTTCTTGCTAGCAGTGTAAGCATGGTTTGATGGATCACACCCTAAAAGTATCCCTTTATTTCGTGCTCCCAGATCATCATGTGTGCTATGCTGATGTTCACGGAAATATTTATTGTATGATAAGTTACATTGCAAGCCGTATCCCTTTATTTCGTGCTGCCAGATCATCATGTGTGATATGCTGATGTTCACGGAAATATTTATTGTATGATAAGTTACATTGCAAGCTGTACATCAGGGCAGGGTCACTGCATGTGAGCTGTCAGATGCGTTGTCGTGTGAGATGAGAAGCGTGACAGTCACCACGTTGGGGCTGCAAGTTGTACATGGAGGGGGGGCTGCTGCAGAAGCATCGTGTGCAGGGTTCGATACTTAAAGAGTATGTAAACATGCACTTCTTTCATGATTACAGATTTGGAGTTCAAGCTATCATCCATCCAATGCCTGGTGTTTGTGCAAACTTATTACAGAGCAACAACATGAGAACACGAAACATTGCAAGGTG